ACTCTATTCCACCGGAAGCATTATAGTTGATTTTTTTTTAAATGGAACAGGAGGTCCTATGGTACCTCATATTTAAGCTACTGATTAGTACTTCATAACCCTAGTAGGATACACCATTCTTCTTCCCTTGGGAGGGTCTTTCAAAATGTGCAATGAAAAATGAATGACTTAAGCACTTTTCTATATAATAATAATGATAATAGTAATAAACGGAGGGCTTCATGCTTGCTATCCAAGTCACAAAGACCAACAACTATAGGAAATACATCCTAAAACAGAATATACAATCACATGTATGCAGGAGATGTAAACAAGCTAGTGAAACCATACAACATATAATAGGAGGCTGTCAAACTATAGCACTAACAGAATGCAAACGAAGACATGACGAAAAGTTGGCAAAATTATCCACCAAGAGCTTGCTCTCAAGTACAACAATCCTAGAGAACACACAATACAAAATATACTGGGACAGAAGCATTCTCACATACAAGACCAGGTATCATCATATGGAAGGAAAAGGAAGCGGAGGTCCTGCTCATCGATATAGCAGTGACTAATGACCCAAACATGGGGAAAGATGAAGAGAACAAGATCAATAAATATATCGACCTCACCTATGAATTAAAAGATCTACGGAGAGTGGACAGGGTTAATATCATCCCGATAGTCATACCCAGTATAGGAACTATCCAACGAAACCTGTTTAAATCGCAGGAAGAGCTAGAACAGGAACTGTATATCTACCAACAGATGTAGAAAGCAGTAATACTGAACGCATGCGGTATAACACGTAGATTTCTGCATTCAAAATAAATACCAACTTCCAGAAATGGTACCACCCCTTTGGTTAAGACGATATATGCTTGATATCCTCCAACAAAAGTATACCAGCATGAAGAAGCTGTGCAAAAGTGAATAATAATATCAATAGTAATAATAGTAATAATATGAATAATAATTTTTGGGAATAAAGCAGTCTCTGAGAGCTGAGTAGTACACATATTTTTAGTAACTGCCCTTTCAATTACTTGTGTCAAGCATAGCAAAATGCTTCGAGTTCAAAGACGACCAAATTATCACCATGTTAGCGACTTTGACAGGGATAGAATTATTGCCTCCTATCGAGATTCATGCTTGTCCTATCGCGAAATTTCGAACCGTGTTAATTGTACTGCAATGACGGTAATGCGTCTTTGTCGTGTGTGAATAGATGAAGGTAGAGAAACACGAAGAAGGCCAACTAGTTCACCAAAGCGTACCACAGAGGGTCAAGATAGGCGCTTCAGACAACTAGCCCTACGAGATCGTTTTGCTATTACGCGTCAGATCGATGACCAATGGTTTGGAGGAAAAGGTAGACCTGTTATTATGCGTACACTCTATCACCGTATTCGAGCCCATGGACTTTTTTCATACCATCCACGGTTCGAGCTTCCTCTGACTGTGGAAAACTGTAGTCAACGTTTGAATTGGAGCAGATAACAGAAACAGTGGGAGGCAGAATGGCATACTGTCATCTTCAGCGTCCGAATCGCGATTCTGTCTAGGTACGCATGATGGTCGTAGATGGGTTAGTCGCCGCCATATAGAAAGGCGTGATATTGGATTTGCTGTTGATAGGAATGTACACAGGACTGCTGGAGTAATGGTTTGGGAGACTATTGCCTATGGTAGCCGATAGCCCCTTCTCTTTGTTCAAGTTATGTTGATGATGACCTACAAGCCACTTAAGTGCCGCGTCTAGATGGCCGTCCACACGACATTTTTCAGCAAGATAACGCACGTCCCTATATTGCTCGTCGTACTTCGTACTTTCTTCAAGAAGCAGGCGTTAACGTTTTGCCAAGGCCACCCCGTTCACCGGATTTAAATCCCATCGAAAATGTCTGGGATATGATGGGGAGGAGACTATCCCCTTTGCACCATGCGCCACAGACTCTGTCACAGCTAATCCACGAAGTTGGAGTTGCTCGGAATGAGGTGCCACAACCAGACATCGTTCGTCTCATTTTGTCGATGCCTAGACGTATACAGGAGTGTACTCAGCTGCGGGGTCACCCAACACATTATTATTATTTTTTCTCATTACTTGTCAATAAAATTTCGTGAGAATGTTATCGTTCTATTCTTGATGCAAGTCTACCTCATTGCCAAAAAATCCAGTTGAAGAAACTATTTTTTCTGGGTGTAACACTCCTAATGCCTCTGAGTATAATATGGAATACCTAATCTACCTTATTTGTAACTTTTACAGTACAAAAGGGCAAGGTTCAGTTCCGGAGCTATTCCTTCACTTAGCCCTCAATAATAAGAGCAATAAGTAATACCTTGAGCTCCAAAATCAATAAAAATTCAAACGTAATACTTTAGATAATGAATTTACGTTCCAAACAATGTTTTAAATACAAACCTAATAACAATTACACTTATCTCTTTTAAATAATATTTAAACTTGCTCAAAGACATTGGTTTCAAGTTTTTTAACGTATAGTATAGAGTTGTATAAGGTCTGTATAATTCTGTGGCATGGTGAATGAGTGGGGACATATCATAATTTTTTAGATTAAATGATATTTTGACGTTATATTCCTTTTTTGATACAATAGTTTCTGATTAACTACAATTTTGGCTTTAACTTGTATAATCCATTAATATATTTACAACCAACCTATACTATGAACGTTCCCTAACAGATGCTAATATTTTTCTTGAATTATGTATTATCTAATCGATAACAGATATTTTGGAATTTTTCTTCGTAATTTTTAGCAGTGCTTTGATCTAAGTATTTTAAATAAAAGCTTATACAGTATAAAATTAAATTACCTTATAAAGATATTTTCATAGATTCAATATCTTTATGTATATACAAAAGTAGAACGAACAATAACACTATCTTACAATCTGAACGGTATGTTCACGTCATCTTGATTTTCCGACAGTCACTGAAGTTCAATTTGATTTTGTCAATAAATATTACATTTCATTTACGGGGTGAATAGAATCATTTTTGATTTGTCAGAGTTAAGCTAAGAAGAGTTGCGTCTCGCATAATCTGGAACAGAATTTAAATCACTATCGGTTAGCTTGAGTTCACTAAACATTTTGTGGGTGTCATCAGCATACACCATACAAACACAACTATTAGTAGTTGCCTTAATTATTAATTAAACGGAGAAAGTTTTATAGGAAACTGGTTTTGAAAATATCAGCGAAAAACCGAAAATGGCGGAATTCGTTCTTTGCCAGTAAAAACAAGATAGCATGTATGACATGTCTCAATCGTCTTTTGTTTTCCAGCATCTCGCTTCAACTTTCATTTTTCTTATAACCGCCATATTGGAATTTTTGATTTTTGAAAAGAGTGTAAAATTGCTAGTCTAGTGATGTCTCACAAGTGCATACAAGATTCGAGTATCACCGAAATATCATCACACGTAATGTTATGTATTAGTTTTTTCTAAGGAGACCATGATTTATTTGTCAGAAAATAACATTAAAGAGTAAGACATAAAAAACACATAAACGCCTTGAATTTTAAATAGAATATTAACGTTAATATAGACTTCTCAACAAGTCCAATGTTTTGGAACAAATTCTCAACTATGAGTGTGTTAAAATAAACAAGTGAGAAAAATCGTCGTAAATATGTTTTACATTTGAACAAACATTCTACAAAATTATGATGTAATGTAAAGTCTAATTATGTAAGTGGATATTAATTTACAGATTTGCAAAATAACATCCATTTGCATCCAGACATTTTTGACAATGGGTGGCTGCTTTTCGTACAACCTTAACTAGTGTATTTCTGTTAATGTTTCTAACTGTGCTCAAAATTCTTTGTCTCAGGATTTCTATGGACCCTAGAGGTAGAAATCCAAGGGTAAAACGTCAGGGATCTAGGAGGCCATGATATTGAATCATTTAATGAACTTGTTCTTACATCAAAATGCTCTCTTAAGAAGCTCCTGTCTTGAATGGTGTTGTGAGCCGGACATCCATCCTATTGAATCCAGGTTCTTCTAAACTCATATTCGGATAGAGTGGCTGGTAAAGCTGGTTTCTAGGTACATCTATCCGTTTAGGTTGTAGTCGAACAAAAATGATCCTGTAAGTCGATTTCTTGAAATTATTAATACCTAATTTCAAATAGGTGCCCAATTAGAACAGGTAAGTTAGGCTAAAATACCGAGGACCCCACACCAAATCTGGTCTGTAGATGTATCTCGGACACTTCGTGAAGGCTGTCCACAGCCCAATGATGAGTGTCGTGCTTATTACAAACTCCACAATCCGTAAGCCTACTCTCATCGACCCACAAGACATGATTTACAAAGTTGAGATTTTCATTAGACTTCCTAGTATACCACTCACAGAAGCGCATTCGCCTTGGAAAATCAGGTAGGTAGGTTGTTCGAATTAAATTAACTTCTATTTTTCAAAATTGAGTATTATGAGGATGTCGTGGTTCGGGATACATCTCCAAGTGCCTTGCTGAGGTAATGTCGGCGTTTATGTGTGACTGCAGATATAAAGCTAACATTAACTGGCCATTTTCAACAGGTTTTGACAACTTTTTTGTCAAATTTATGATGGGAGAAAACACAATTTTAATACTTTGAATTATTTAACGTCAAAGTCAGAGCCTCCTTAGATGAAAAAAATGCGTCACTCACTAATTTTATTTTCTGACAAATAAATCATAGCCTCCTTAGAAAAAAATTAATACATAACATTACGTGTGATGATATTCCGATGATACTCTAAACTTTTATACACTTGTGAGACATCGCTGGGCTGTAAATTTTACGCTTATTTTGAAAATCGAAAAATCCAATATGCTGGCGATGAGAAAAATTAAAGTTGAGGCAGTTTGCGGGAAAACAAAAGACGATTGAGACATGTTGTACACTCTAGCTTATCTGCTTTGAAAATTTTCAAAATAATGTCACATTTTGACAGCTGTCAAATTAACTGTTTAGGATTTACTGCCAAATTAACAAAATTCGGCATTTTCATTTTTTCGCCGATATTTCCAACACCAGTTGACCGATCGTAAATCTGAAGCCGGCTATCGAATGCATTGAGTTTCCTCTATGACTTCCTCCATTAAACCTTTGCTATAGGTTCAACAGGAGCCGAAATCCATGTATAGAGAAGCGAATCTGAGACACTGTATATATACATAAGGCAATTGTACTTACTAAAAGTTTTGATGGTGCAACACATATCTCGTCCTCCCAACCAAGAGCCGATAAATTCTTACCAAACAAGAAACAGGAATTATTTAAACATGACAAAACCAGAAAAAAATATAATGCTCAGATCGTATTCTTACCTAGGACCAAGATGTTACAATCTTCTTCCACAAGACCTGAAGATGATACGTTTCTAACACACATTTAAAAGCCAAGTAAAAGGCTGGATAACATCTAAGCCCAGACAGAGAATTCACGAAATCGTTGACTTAAAAAGATTACACTTAACATGAAAATCAATTACTAGAACAAAGTTACCGAATTAGACAAAATACCCTATACCCAAGATTACCGATTTAGACAATATACCCCTGCTATACTTATTTACCGATTTTGACAACATACTCGATATATCCCCAAACAGAGAACAGAAAACAAAAACACTAATAACCTAAGATAGACTTTGTGCCCTAAATGAGACGTTTTACCTTAAAAAGGATCTATAATTAAATGAAGCCATCGATACTCCCACT